AAAAATAAGCAGGAAAAGTGAAAATTCGACGGAAAATTCAACAGCAGACTTCTTAGCCCCAACTGATGTCTGCATCGAATGGTCACTGGTAGAAGTGAATCAGGCTTGGCTCATTACAAAAGGGCGTAAGTACTGTACAAGTAAATAGTTGGTGTACTACACTGTACTCCATGTGTAAAAAACAAAAACACAAAACAAAAACAGATCTGCCTGCCCTCATTTCCCAACGTATGCATTTATTTGCATCTAAAGTTCTTGCTCTATCAATAGAAATTGAAGCAGGTCTCACATGATTGAACATACAATCAAAACTGTATTACATTATTGTACAGTGAGACCCTGATATGCAGACACCCCAACATATATGGACAATTTGACTTAGGGACACTTGAAAACCAAAAAAGAAGGGCCAACATCCACACATTTTTTGGCTCAAGTTCGAGAAACTTTTTGGAAAATTTCCCAAATCATTGAAACATATTATTTTCCAATCTTGATATCTTTGGAAAAAAGCAAGCTACTGTATTTGTATTCACAAAAAGTTGAAAAGTATATTTAATGATAAATTCACTCTAATTTATAATAAAAAGCAAGTTGAATTGGTCCTTCTTTTCTCAGAATTGTTTTCCTATGATCTGTGCATATTCTAGCAAGATTTATTATGTTTCTTTGATCTCTTTTTGATACAAAAGAATCAGATTCTATGTGATTTTTTTCTGCACTGTTTTCTAAAACTTGAAGTTTAGGGAAGAACTTTTCAAGATATTTTGAGGACTTTATTTCTAATGCTTGACTAAAAGGAGAACCAATTAAATACATAAGCACTGAAGTCTAAAGGAACATATGAGACTTGATTTAGGGACATTCCAACATTTTTGATGCACCAATTACGTCAGCGTCTCACAGTATTTACCTGAGAATATACCATGCACACCTTTTTCATGCAAATTAAAATGGTCGGCGGAAATACTTTACTGTACATCATTGATGAATACTATATTTACACCTAAAAGTTATAAACCTGCAAAAATCTGCGCAGAAAGACCAATACAAAAACTCCGCAGCAGGTAATCCTTTACTTTTCCAAAGAAAATTATTTGTTTGGATGACATTTACTCATAAAATATATGATGTGCACATAATGTGGTTTTTCAGAAATGATTCTGGATCAAGGAGAGTATGAGTATTATCTGCTCTCAGCAACTGCCAACCCTGGCCCAACGAATTTCAAATTCACAATTCGAAAAGCTCCTGGTCACAAAACGGATGTAGTTGTGAGTTTTCTAAGCGTTGTAGATGATATCTCCGTATTTCTAATATATTGGTTGCCTACGATTTTCCCGATTAAGCTGGATTCCATCATCAGGGAACAGCAATATTCGAAAGTCTCCAAATGCGTCGAAAGCTTCCTGCCAGAAATGAGCAAGTGGTGTTATTGCAAATCTAGTCTTTGAAGAAGGAAGTGTTTTCGTACTTTTTCCAGTGAACGCGGAAATAAACACCTCAATTCAACATACAAAAAATATATATATCATGTGCTGTTCATATATTCATTGAGTACGTGCTGGGAACTAAATAAACATTCGATTTTTGAAAGATGTTGAAAGTATAGCATCATAAATCTAATCGACGGTTCCAGGGGTGATGAAAATGAACAAACACCAATAATCATCTACACACTGTCATTGTCTCACAAAGAACTTCAGCTAGAAAGGTTGAGATTCTTGGAATTCCAGCAAGCTCCTGCTTGCAATTCAGGATCTTACTTGAATTATTCATTTACTCCGAAAGAAGATAAATCTCACAGATGCAGAATGCTTCCAAATTGAATTAAAGCAAGTATACAGTATATTCATGATATACAGGGTGAGCTTAAAAAAAGGGGGAACCAATTTTTGACTTCAAATAGTTTATTGGTAGCAGATTGTGTTGTAGCAATGAAAAAAGCCCCAAATGGAAGCTTGTTCAATTCTCTTTAAAATGGTAGGCAATTTTATGGTCTTGAGTGCCACAGAATGGTTACAACAAGAACCATTTGAATGAAAATTTCAATAGCAAGAAGTTGTCAGGCAACTTTTTCCGGTAAGCTTTTGTTTTGGAGAGCTGTTTGCAGCATGAATGAAGGAAATACAGTACTGTATCCAGTTATTCGACCAAAAAACTTCATGCTGTTTTGGAGAGCCTGCACATGTTGCCAAAATTCAGAAGGAGGGGGTAAGAAGGGGGAAGGAAATTGGCAAGATAGGATGCTGTGGGGGTCCACTGGTGACCCAGTGCATGCCCTTTTTTCTGGATGACTGGATTGCTGGAACTATAATTTTAAGTTGAAAAGATTTTGAATTGAACTGATTTTGAGTGAAACTAATTTTCAGTGAAACTAATTTTGAGTGAGACTAATTTTGAGTAAAACTAATTATGAGCAATTGAAAGTTTTGTTGAAATTAATTTTGTTTTTGCTGTAAGTTTTCATTCAAATGGTTTTTTTTAACCATTCTGTGGCACTTGGGACCATAAAATTGCTTACCATTTGAAGAGAATTGAACAAGCTTTCATTTGTTGCTTTTTTCATTGCTACAACTCAATTGGCTGTATGAGCTATTTCAAGTCAAAAACCGGTTCACTTTGTTTCCCTCACTATGTAAAATAAAATAGGTAGATTTGAGACTTGATACGCAGAAATCGTGATTATTGCTTAGTGTTGCCATTCCGAATAATGTCTTACCCTTCTTATGAGCTTATTCAATAGTTACACAAAAAAAACGATTTAGGTTGCCTCGTGATACGAAGAAATAAGTTGCTGAATCATCAAGAAATCACGTTCATGCCGAAGAATATTGATGCAATTATCCTCCGGATTTTGCCAATCGCCAGAAAAGATCCCCATTATTTCCTTCTGTCCATTATACTCCTCTCACCCGTCCCAAGATAACCTAGAAAGCAATTCCCTTAGAGCAGAGCGGAAAGGATCCTTCAGATAACCCAGGGATCCCCTCTCATCCCAGATGCCCACGGTATTGCATTATTCAACAAGCATCCCATTTAAATAATTGCATCACTTGAATCACACCCTTTCCCTTCTATGCATCAATGACAACATTCATTCCCCACACACACACGCACATACATGAGCAACGCAATATTTATTAAAAAAAAGGATTCGTTTCTTGGAAAACAGTGTCCTAGAAAGCATGCGCAAAGACCCCTGGAAGCCATTCTGGAAAGCTCCACCATCTCAGGCGCATAAAACTCCATAAAATCACATTCTTGGCGCCATTTCCTCTTTGCCAGTGTTCACGAGCAAGAATAAAAAAAAAAACTATGAGTGGTTCAGGAAAAGGTTTGATTGGAATCTGGTTGTACTGGAACCAGCCTGATGATGCTGGGGTTCACCAACCAGAAGGAAAATCCACCACCACCACCACTTTTTCCAAGCCTCCATTAGTAAGTTCAATGATAATTCAACTTCTGCCCAGAGAAAAAAACATCTTTACATTTTGATTTTACAGAAACACAGACCAAATTTGATGAACCTGAAGCACAATGCAACTCCTAAAAAAACTTTCCAGCCAGGGAAATGTATGGTCTTGACCCTCAGAAACAACATTGGGGGTCTCTCAGATGTCCTACAAGTATTCAAGGTACTGTATATATCCAGTACAGTATATATGGATTACATGAACAAGCAGCTTTTTTTCACTCTGGTGTGATTATTTTTTGCAGGAGAAAGGAATCAATATTTTGCACATGGAATCCAGACAAACTCCAAGAAAAGAATCCTTTGCTGACATACTGTTGGAGGTTGACTGTGAATCTGATAAAATGCAGGAAATGTTAGCAGCCATTAAAGACAAAGTAACATCAGTGGATACAAGACCTGTCAACATGGTAACACAGCAATCATCATCCTTTGACACTCCAGCCAGCTCCATTTCCGAAAGCTTTGGTGAGTGTTTTGCTCTTTGAATGTTGCATTCCTAGCATACATTTAATTTTTTCTCTAGATTTTGAAGAGAAGGAAGTCCCTTGGTTTCCAAGGAAGATTTCAGACCTGGATCACTCTTCAAATGAAGTCTTACTCTACAGCAATGACCTGGATGTTGATCACCCTGTAATTCAATCTTCATCATTTGCATAATTCAAAATTGTAACCAATGCAGTTACTCCTTTTTGTGAATTTCAAAAATAGGGATTCAAGGATGAGGCCTACAGAAAAAGGAGAATGTATTTTGGAGAACTTGCCATGAACTACAGGCAGTAAGAGTCAAATTAATTACAAATTCAATGGAAGTACTATTGAACTTGTAATTTCTTTTAAATTCCAATTTAGTGGCCAAACAATTCCAAAAGTGAAGTATACAAAAGAAGAGGTGAAAACATGGGGAACAGTTCTCAGGGCACTGAAAGAGCTGTACAAGGAACATGCTTGCAAAGAATTTTTGGAAAACTGGCCAGCTTTGGAAAAATACTGTGGTTACAGGTGACTACACCTTCTTCTATGATGCAATTTGGGAATAAAATTCACGGTTTTTTTGCAGAGAGGACAACATTCCACAGCTCCATGATGTCAGCAAATATTTAAAAAGTGAGCCTAGTGATATTTTAAAAAGTGATGAATGACCACTGCTCTTATTGTTAGTCAATGAATGATAATCATTTAGGCATTAGATGAAGACAAACTGTGACCTTCAATGAAATGTCCATGAGGACAGATCTGAAGATTTTTGCACTGAATGTCTATACAGTATACTGAATAAAAAATATGTTTGTATTAGTTGATGATCTTAATAATCATCAAATCATTTGTTTTAAAAGGGAAAACAGGATTCAATCTGAGGCCAGTTGCAGGATACCTAAGTCCAAGGAATTTCCTGGCAGGTTTGGCATTCAGGGTATTCTACTGTACCCAGTATGTCAGACATCCATCAGAACCATTTTACACTCCTGAACCGTGTGTATATGAAAAAATATGCACTACTACATTTATATAGCAAACAATAATGATTTTTTCATTGGTCAGAGATTGCTGCCATGAATTGCTTGGACATGTTCCTTTGTTGGCAAATCCAAGTTTTGCACAATTCTCTCAAGAAATTGGACTGGCCTCACTTGGAGCATCTGAGGATGAATTACAAAAATTGGCAACTGTGAGTAAACATATGTTTTTCAAATTGAAGACAACTATTATCTGTAGTCCATAAATATGAGGGTTGGTTCATAAGGTTTGAGACTTTTTGGAATACTATAAATCCAACAGAGGTTTGACAATTCCAAAAAAAAATAGTGTTTTTTACTCGCACATAGCTCCAGCATTTGGCAACACTTCAGTGCTGTTCAACATACTCTCCGCAAATTTGAATGATTTTTTCATGAAATAAATCCAACAACAAAAACAGTTCCAAAAATCGAGTAACAACTTTGTCAACAAAGAGAACTCAATTTTCGGCACTGGTTGTTTCAATCGTTGGATTGACAGCAAAAGAAAATGCATCAAGATCGGCGGAGAGTATGTTGAACAGCACTGAAGTGTTGCCAAATGATGGAGCTATGCGAGTAAAACCTTTTTTTCACTTCTCGAACCTCACCCTTTGGATTTATTAAAAAAATATCTCAAAACTTATGAACCTACCCTCGTTTACATAGTACTGTATCCTGTTTTAATTCCCTTCCCATGTTACATTAGCACTTATTATTGAGTGGAATGTATAAAAGTCATTGAATTCAAATTCAATGATCAAGGGCATCACATAATTTGATTTTTTACTCCAAATTTTCAAGCTATACTTCTTCACTGTGGAATTTGGCCTCTGTCATGAAGGTGGGTCAAGAAAGGTCTATGGGGCTGGGTTATTATCTTGTGTGTCAGAGCTGGAGCATGCAGTGTCCCAGAAGGCCCTTGTCAGACCCTTTGATCCCAGGGATGTGACCAAGATGACCTGTCAAGTGACCACTTTCCAGGATGCCTATTTCTTCACCAAGACTTTCGAGGAGGCTAAAGAGAAACTGAGGTACTGCAGTACTGTGATTGAAATACCTGTATTACCTGAAGATTATAAATATTTATTCACAACATAAAAACGAAATCATGACACACATTCTTCACAAATCAGCTCATGTGACCATCAAAGTCATCAAACTTTATACTCTGTCCAAAATAAATGATATAAACTTCAATCAAAGTACAGTACATGATGGAATGTGAAAATTGAAATATAATGGGCTTTCAATGATAATGACTGCTGCTTGTGTCTATATCATTCAGGGAATTCACCTTGACCATCCAGAGGCCATTTGCAGTGCGCTACAATGCCTACACCCAATCCATTGACGTACTGACAGATAGCAACAAGATCAATTCCATAATCAGCGAACTCAAGGGGGACCTTTACATTGTGAAGAATGCCATCAACAAGATCAACCAGGAGCAGCAGGAAGACAATTGCAACTTGGATACCCTGGCATTGGCCCTTGAGGACCACCTCACCACCATCACTCCAACAAACTGTTCTCCTAATTTCCCTTGAGTCTTCTTCATCAATTGATATCTATCTGAATCCTCATCTAGATACGCTTTCTGCTGATGACAGATCACCCTGTACAGAGAAGGGAATCTGAAATACTGGACTCTTGCTTCTGCCTCTTCTAGATATAAGATCAAAACTTATTTCTGTAAAAAGAGTTAATTGGACGTCTAGAACTCTAGATGAGCTAATAACTTCCACTGAATATGAGCCACCTGCAAATATGTTTTGCAATAAAGGACTAATTATTTCCTTTTTGGATCCCATTTCATTGCATCAATGACCATCTTTGCGTGCATATTTTGTGCATGATGATTGGCTTGTGTAGAATTGAAATGAATATAAAGAGCCTTTACAGTATATGAAAGATGAATATGTATTGAATTACAAAATGCACATGAATCCTAAAGCCATAATTATTGTTATGGTGACTACCTCATTATCATGACTAGCTATAGCACATCCACGAAAGGATCATGCTCATCATGTCTCTCTTGATGACATGTGGGAATCCTGTATAAGGGTGTGATGATCATGAAAATGGTTCCAAAAAGATTATATTTTGATGCCACAGACAGCATTCCAAGATTAATCAAAGGGGTGCTTGTTTTTTTCTGTGCATTAAATACAATGGGGATTGCCTTTGAAACACTTCAGTAGTAACTCACTCAGTGGAATTGGTATTCCTATAAAATCAAGGATGGAACTTACGGATTTATATGGACTCTTATTCAATGATGTACTCGGAAAAAAGCTGTGAGGAAGACAGCTCTCAATTGAATGATTGATGCATTCTCTAAATTTCCTTCATGCAAAAACCCAAATAGGGAAGAAATATCTTGTGAATGTTGTCAAAGTACAGTACCAACCATTCATCAGCAGATTGTTGCATTTTCAAAAATTCCCATCGAAGTTAAAAAAAAACAAAAATTGGCAAAATAGGAAAATTGTTGGAAATGCTCTGTAATTGGGAAGCATTTGAGCAGGGATTGTAGAGTGCATGTTGAGTGCTCTATATGCCATTGCAATTATCTTACTCAGATGCACATCCCCAATTGCATTAAAAATAACCAAACATCAAAGGATGAAGAACAATTAATGTACTACCAAAAACTGCCCATGAAACAAGTAGAGATGTAAAACCTTTGGCCACATACTCAAATGCACATCCATTACTTATGATTTATGCAGAAGTCAAATAAGGTCACTTGGGAATTGAAGTAAAGTAACTTTCAGTAACTTGGAACATAATCTATATTATTACAGCACATTATATATATATATCATTTTATAGATTATATGTAATTTACATAGTTATAGATTATATGTAATTTACATAGCACAGTTTCATAAAATCTTCAGCACCACACCACACATCATTGTAGAGCTGAACAGCATGATAGACAGCACCTGGCCCAAAATTTTGCAGAAATGCAAAACATATTGCTAAAACATAGTGCCATGCCACATAATATTGAAACACCATGCTACACAATCCATCAAGACTGTGCCGTACTGCGTTCATTATGCGCGAATACCATGAATAGTACTGAATTGCGCCATATACATTCAAAGTACCATGCCCCATTGTTTCGTGTAAGGATCCACTCACAACGTGCATAAATCCAACCATAGCAATTCCATGGACCAATAGGGGTAGCACGTGGGTCCTTGCTGAACTCAAAATTTCCTTTTAGTCTGCATAAAGCAGGCCTAAGAAGTAATGATTCTTGCCATGCCTTCTCCTCAACATTCACCACAACCAGCACCTTTAGCAAGACAGGTACAATATTGGGTATTATCACCCGTGTTGGTGAAACTTGCCAAACACCCAACCTGCTGCAAGCAGTTTAACTTGCCGCTGTCACAACATACTGCAGTATTAACTTGCCACTGTGATAAGCAGTCACCACAGGTGGAAGTTGCTGCAACATTTCACCACTGTAATGACTTGCTGCTATCACAATTTGCCAAATGAATTGCAGCCACTTGCCTTTGCATCGACTAAAATTTAAGGAACAAAGGAATTCCCACATTCTTCCACTTCTTAACTAGGCATTCTGCTTTGTGAAATTTTTTAGAATATATAGGGGGGGGGGTTTCAATGAATTCTTTCATCCTGAACTAGTATGATTGGTGGCTAAATGATGTGCATTTTTTATGGTAAGGTTTTTTCCATATTATTGTATTGTAAATTTTATTCAATTGCAAAAATGTTCTGCTGTGAATCAAGTTTCAAAAAGTTCTAGAACTGTCAGAATTTATCTTCAAGTACAGCATGTTCAAAGAGTGGCAACTTATAACTACTGCAAGTTGTGACTGGTGAGAAATGATTGCGGCAACTTGTGACTGCAGTCAGTTGCAGCAGCAGCAAGTTAGGGTGCGGCAAGTTGAAGTGCGGCAAGATCAACTGCGGCGAATTTCACCTGCACCATTATCACCTGTAGCAAAATTTCCCAGCATTGTTGAAGCATTATTGTGGGTGAACCTCCCCTATTTCCTACCAATTCACTAAGGGCATGAACATGGGTGAACCGTTTGCTGGGTGTAGGGGTTTTCTACAACATAATTCTCTGCACAAGAAATTTTATGTGGTCACTTGAATTTTCTTGCAGTGAGTCCACCTGCATGTATATACTGCCTCAAGTTCAAATGGAAGGACGTGCAGGACTGAAAAGTTCTGAACATGAAGGTAAATGTGCAACTGCTGCATGTTCCTAGCATAATGGATACAGTGTAATTACAGCTTTTCTTTCGAAATTTTTAAAAAATAAGCAAGGACTCAAATCAAAACAAAAATACACAAAATTAGATCCAATTTACTAACAGCTCTATATACAGATATCCATTCGCGCAGAGTTACACAACTGCTGTATTGCCATTAAGAAAGCTCATATGACCATTGAAAAGGGATTTTTTCTGAAAAATGCCGTTATGATCCTCCCAGTATTGTCACGTGGGGTCCACTGTCTATACATACTCTCTATACATTTGACGGTGTAAAAAATTGATTAGCTATCCAAAGATATTGGAAGAAAGCTATCCGAAATGGAGAAAATTTACATTTCGGCCTTGAAGTAACTGATCCCCCGGAAATTACTCGAAATAAGAGGAAATTTGAAATGAAACAAATGTTGGCAACTGGCTACTAAAGCTGATTGATAATACCTGCAGCGTTGCATGTAAAAACGCACATTGAGACCTTCCACATTTTTTTAATTTCCTCAACTGCTGGTACACCGAAAACTGTAATCGGGCATAACTTGACATGCATTACTCAAGGGAAAACGTATCCCTACCCCAATAATTCATGCTTGTTCTGTTTGCATTTCGGACTCTACACATGCTTTTGCAAAGAAACATGTCTCATTATCGCGGTTCGAAATTCGGGAATTCCGTACACCTCGTATATATACTGCACTATAATTCAACAAGAAGAAACTCCTTGATACACCCTCACCAACACGTTCATCCGGATAATGATGTCCTCTTCTTCTGATCTACATTTCACATGCTGACAGTCCAAGGAACATATGTGATTGTGATCCCAACAGGAGACGAATCATCTTTTCACAATTTTCCACGGTCTGTTTCACGGGAAACCAGAGTCGTCGGGATGCTCGAAACGCTCGTACAACCTGGAGTAAGCAATTAAATTTCAAGACAAATCGGCTGATCTAATGCACGTTTTTCAAACACTATTATCGTGCTCTCATACCTGACAAAGCCATTGCCAAGTCCAGCTCCTTCCTCAATATTTTTAACGCCGTGTGGACCCCGTCGAACCCATCATGAGCCAGTCCCCAAAGAATCGGGCGACCCACGAACACCTTTTTGTTGAATAAAAAAATATTTAAATTCAGAATTTTAGTCACTCCTTTGATTTCAATCCTATCACTGGAGAAGCCGAAAATTCGTCCCTCGACGCTTTTCAAACAACTTTCCTCGAATGTGAGCATTGCATTTATCATGTTGCGACTTCAGGTTAAAAAATAAAACATAAAACAAATGGCATCGCACGACTGATGACAGTCGCTGCTGATGCAAATAGAGATAACTTGAACTATACTCGTGTACTGCAGTACTGTAGTTTTCTGGGAAATACAATGAAATATGGACTTGACCACTACATATTTACTTTTTGACGCCATATGTTAGAAAAAGAAAAACTGAAGCTCTCGAGGATATTCTTCCAGCTTCTCCGGCGACAACCATTTTCGCCTCGATGATGAAATAATACCATTTTCGCACCAAGAGCCAATGCTTTCAATACATCGGTGCCCTTCTCGACACCACCATCCATAAATACATCACACCGGCCTTTGACTGCCTCCACAACTTCAGGCAGAACCTCGATCTTAAAGAAAATGGAAAAATTATGATATCACAACATACGCATGTAAAGTTGAACCTTATGATGACTCCAACCTCTTTAAGCCGAATTTTTCCAAGTCCCCATCTGAATTCTCTTGGAAACAATAATGCATTGAAAAGCTCTGTACTGTATAACTCAAAGGCTTTCCTCCTCAAACCTCCAGAACTCGAATTTTTTGGAGGTATTTTAGCTATTATCGCAGAGACAGGAAAGAAAAATAAAACAATAAAAATGTCACTTCATCCATTTTTAAAAGGAAAAGTGGAAGATTACTAGGACAAATGAACCTTTGCCTTCAACTTCAACATCCCTTCAACTCATTCAAGGTCTAAAATATCCCCAATTTCAATTTTCTGCAATTCTTTATCTTCCCCAACAAAAATGGAAAATGCCAACTCAAAACCTCCCGGATTCAAAACTTTTTTATTGTTCCATGAAGTTCGACTTACTGAAGGGGTTCAATCGTAGTTGAAAGAAAATTCATCAAGAAATGTGTCGACTAACCGTGGCTGAAACAGTGTCGAGTTGCCTGGCACCATGGTTCGACACCCAGATTGCATCAGCACCGTAATCCAGCGCCAGCAGAGCATCTTCACCAGTCAAAACCCCTTTGACAATAACCGGTAATTTGGTTGCCCGTTTTAGCCACGCCAAATCCTGCCAAGTCAACGTCTGGTCGAACAAGGACGCCACGTATTCGTTGATTCCAGAGCCTCCAGCAGATTGATTTGCTCCTTTCGTTGCGCTCGACGTCGCACCATACTTCGCAAAATTCTCCATCCTGTAAATCAATGTTATTTATTATACACACAACCTATAGACTGCAAAGAATTACAATACAGAAATTGCGCACTGTATTTTTATCCTGATTGCCACAAATGTAGGCTATTTGCTATACTGTACTGATGATTACAACCTGCTTGGGCGCCACCTTTGTTATTCCGAAAGTAGGTATGACTGCTGTAATAAAATTTAGATGACCCATGATGTTGCCAGGTTTTGGATTTATAATAATGTTTTTAAATTTCTTGCATGATGATAAGTGATAACTTTCCAGTTATGGGCAGACTTCTCCTCCATGTTATTACAGCAAGGTGCTAAAAAAATGTCAGTCCAGATAAAAATACAAAAATTTTGTGTTGTTTTAACCACTACTTTTCTACAGTTTAGAAAATTGTTGAAACAACCAAGAAATTTCAATTCTCAGCCAGATAAAAAGTCAAAAATGTTTTGTTGTTTTAACCACTACTTTTCCACATTTTAGAAAATTGTTAAAACAACCAAGAAATTTCAATTCTCAGCTGCCCTGATGAAATTGAACAGCTGGATCTTGCTAAGTTATAAGCCTCACTATTCAAAATTTATTTGTAACCCCTGTATATGCTTGAATACCCTTTAGAAAATTCAATACAAACCTTCCCTAAAAAAAATCTTTCACTCTCAAACTTATATTTAACTAAAATAATGAAAGGCTTTTTGGGAGTACAGTAATAGCTGGAAGGAGAAGAGTGATGAAAATTTAAATTCATGCAATTCAAAAAGAAGTGGGGAAATGTACCCTTGCCTCCAAATTCAACATTTTGTCAGATCATTTATCCAGCAGTTTACAGCACAGAAAATCATAAAATTGTGCCCTGCTCAAATTCAATTTTTCATTAGCTACATTGCTGGTTTCTCGATCTGACTTGAAACTCCCAAAGTCAAATTCTTTGTCGGTTTCTCTGAGTTTGACTCAGTTTGATTGTACTCTACAAGGAATACACTACGCTGCGCACTTGTACAGTGTGTGAAATAACATTTGAATTACATCCCAACACTGCAAAAGTTAGCCATCTTGCGAAAATGTTGACCCTTACGCTTTCTTCATGCTGAAACGGTAGAAGACCTAAAAAAGGTCTTCTGCAAAAGTTTTAACCCTAAACTTTATTCACGCTGGACCATGAACAAGAAAATTTTGTTTCAATCGTTAGAAGTCCTCATGTTTTCTCTGAACTTACCTCAAGTGATTCGGGAGCGAAAATTGATTACGGACATCAGCTAACCGCTGGCCAAAATACGGAGCGTCCACAGTGACAGCAACAGCTTTGAAGCCAGCATTTTCTGCACGTTTCAGTAAATCGACCGTCACTTTCCTGTCCTTGTAAATATACAGCTGCAACCACTTGATGCAATCAGGAGCTGCGGCAGCAACTTGTTCAACACTGGATGTTGCAATGGTGCTCAAGACAAACACAGTTCCCATGGCTTGAGCAGCTGGATAAAAAAAAAATGACATAGCCTGATACAGGCGGACACTCTCTACAACAATTTTCGCAGTGATGTATCATGAATTTTTTTTGTCCCACAGGATCACTCCATGTAAAATAGAGGTTTCCGGCAACTCAATTCTTTTAGTCTATAAGCAATTTGTTGTTCCCTTGACTTTTTGCGGAGAGAGTTGACCTGCGAACAGGTCAACTACTGTTTACACACAGTAAAGCCTCTTCAAGTAAAAATTTAAAGGGACAAGCAAAAAAAAATTGACTGAGGTAGGTTTGGTTCAGGTTTTGAAGCAGGAAACAAGTATTTTTGTCGGGTGAAAAACATATACGGTACTGGTGATATTCTGAGCCTTCAATTGCTTCTTGAACGAACTGAAAATATGGTGGACTTGGACGCATCAAGGGTTCATTTGCCAAACTAGACTTTCATTTCCATCCAAAACACACCAAATTCAAATTTTTATTGATTTTCTTTTCCCTTCATCGAGAAAATAATAACATCCAAAAGTGCTCTCAAAATATGAGTTAAGAAGGTTTGCTAGGAAAACACTTCAAGTTGGAGACGTTTTCAATACATTGTTTCTGTAAGAGAATTCAGAGAGGGACGACTCAAAAAATTCAACGTGGGGAGGTTCAACTGTACATAACTTTTCCTAAATTCTCATGGAATTCCTTGAGTACAGTGAAGTTTTTCTTTGCTTTTTGAGCATCTCAAACTCTAGTCATTCTATTTTCACGAAATTCCAATTTTCCAATTGAACAGAAATATCCAAGCAGATGCAGTGAATCAAGAAACGTTAGAAAGATTAAAAGAGTACATTTTCTATTTACTGTATATCAAAATACTGTACCCTCTGAACTTGCATTTCACACACCCATAAATTCTAACTTGAGATACATTACTTATAGTATTCAAGCTTTGCTCCAAACAATGTGACATTTCCAGTTCCGAGGATAAAAAGTATAGCTTCTACAATTGAAAATAATAAACTTGAAACTTTTTGAAACAGGAAGATCATTTATTGAAAGTGTTCATTTATTCGGCAACATAAAATGTTCTCCACTTAGTCTTAGAGTAACATCTTATGCATATCTATACTGTACTAATGTAGAAGGTTCCCCATGGTTACTTGTAACAATTTAAACTTTTGTCATTTAGTCATACGCGTGACACAAATTACCTCCCTTCGGATCAAGTCTCTATACTAAAGAGATTTACTGAAACTGATCTTCGTCTACAATAAGTTCTTCAGTCCTCACCAAACTTAAAAAGCAGATTAAGGTTTTGATTAAGCACCCCAAGCTAATCTCAAATAAGCTCGTCCAATTACCTTCACCAAAGCCCGAGACCATCTAAGCGGAGTATACAAGCACTACACAGTTCGACGCATGTAAAACGTCTCGTCTGTCCCCATCAATTTTCCAATTCCAGGGATGATCCGCCTCGTCTGCAACGATTTGCTCACTCGAAATGATCCATATCACCAAGCAAATATGCCAGAAACAACCGTGTTAGGCAAAGTTCGGTTTGGTGAGAAATCCCATCTGGACACAGAAGTAGGAGACCGCCGTTTACCTCGAGCAGACGCGCATTCGCCTTCAGGATGAGCCATTTTCTGAAGAGCCGTTGGGGCTATGCCAATCGGTAGATTGACCCTCGAGCCAAGAATTTCACTTTCCAAATTTCTCACGGAGACATCAACCATGAATCTCGGCCTTAATCGAAGTCTACGAATATAATATGAAATTTTTCACGATCGGGCTCCCGGAAAAAAATCTCCCATTTCTGGTCTGTATCGTGGAGAATGGCAGCAAACCTTTGGAATGCGAGATGGTTTTCCCGCAAAGTAATTTGTTCATCTGCTCCACTTCGATAATAATCCAAGGCCATTTTTGGTATCTTCTCGACAGCTGCCTGGCGAAGATCATCGATGCAAAGAATCTTTCCGCGACTTCGCTCGTTGAGCATGTTCGTGAGCGAAAGATACCTGTAATTAGTACGATCATCGCAATTATCGAAATGATGGGCTGAAAACTCGATCAGTAGAAAAGTACGCTAATGCGAACCGTATGTGAAGCCGTAGTCCATATATTTGATCTATTCATAGTTCCTAAAATCACATCCAAAACGAAGGAATGATCGCAACGCGTAGCATTTTTTGATAACACTCATGAATATCACATACTCCCGACTTTCGCCGATGACGCACGAAGATTCAAAGCAGATGCTTCCACTGCATTATCAGAAGCTGAACAAGAAAAGCACTTCAAAGCTGACTTATTCAAGATGGCGTCAGAATCCGCCTGTCGCGCGTTCAAGCAGTTTTCGTGAAACCAATGGCCACATTTTCTGTTGGAAGGAAGTCAGTGAGACGTCAAAGAGAATTTCCAGAAAAGAAAAAGAGTCGTCTCTTAACTCACCGGAAGAACACGATGGCGGGAAGTTGTCTTCGTCCGACTCCCGCCTTTCGACAGATCGAACAGTGAGATCCGGATCCGGGCCCAATCCCGGCTTGAGCCGCTTTCACCAACTGAACGGCTCTTCCCGCTTTCTCGTTGAAAGAGAGATTTCTCGCACTCTCCATCACAGTTGCCTCGTAGTTGTAAGCTTTAGTCATCCCTAAAGTTCAACATTTTCAACGGTCAAAGATCACGCCCGAATTACCAACAAATCCGCATGCCAGAACACAGGCTTGCCAACGTGCACGATTGCTGTACTGGGGGTAATAACCATACAAACGTATCGTCCAGGTACAGTACTGTACCATACTCAGTTGAGTACCATACGCCCGAAAGTACCAGGAACATCCAGGTTTTTCCAGTCCAGAATTGTGTACTGTATTGCCATGTAGGGAAGCAAGCGAAATTTGTGTCCGAGACTACGTTACACGTCTGCATGTGGGCTATTGCGCCGCCTTTGCACTCTACTTTCGAAAGCATTGCAGCGCCATCTAGTTCACAGTGAAAGTCAGCACCAAAATATGCCAAATAGGCAAAATCGCACTTCGCAAACAACTAATAAGCGGAGCAAAGCCGCACATCCTCGAAAACCTGCTTCTTCGGCTGAACCAGTTTTTTTCTTACAAATGAACCTACGGTGACATTTACTACAGCAGTAAAAAAAAAAAAGATTCTGTATCAACAAGATCTGTGAACACAAATGAAATCTACCAGAACACTATTTTGTTGTATATTGCTTCTGTACATGACAACCATAAATAATTATAGTAGATTAAAAAATTAATCTAAAAAACCACGTTTTTCAAGTAAGACTAAAAAGCACAAAAAAATTTAGTACATTAAAAAATTAATCTAAAAAACCACGTTTTCAAAAAGCAAAAAATAACCTTAAACGTGGTGCGCATCTATTTCATTTGTATTTCACTTCTTCCCAACAATCTCCATGCGCACCACGTTTAAGGTTATTTTCTGCTTTTTGAAAACGTGGTTTTTTAGATTAATTTTT